TAATATATGTCAATGTGACAGTAATCCTCTGGAGATGATTAAATAATGTCATAAATAAAACTTACCTTAATATCCCACGCCCAAGAGAGAGCAAGACGTAAGTTGCCGTAAGATGAATAAGACATGGGTAGATTGAATGATTTTAAGTGATGAAGTTGATATACATCACGTTTTTCCATCATATATACTCGGATTTCAGTCATATATTTCTGATCCAAAACAAAATTCAAAATTCAATATTCAATATTCAATATTCAATGCAAGGTTGTTAAGATCAATATTACCTGAATTCCAATAGTATAAAGCAGGGTTGGCAAATGTGTGGTCCATTGATGGTCTATTGGTGGTCCATTAGTGTAACACTTTAACCATATTTAAGTATTTTATTAATGGCAATGGACCAATCCAAAATCCATCTGCTCTCAATGGACTAGTTAATTTTCCAACCCTGGTATAAAGATTTGACATGTGTCTATTTCTATTTCGAAATTTTTTAAACATATCATCTAACATGTCTTTGAGCATCCTTGGAAGTTGATATTGATCAGAGTTCCACTTCGTAATATCATATTTATGAGGACCACCACAACCAAGCCTACAAACAACTTCTTGTTGATTGACTTTATACAATAAATCTGTTAAATAGCCACGTTCAAGCTGGTATTTTAATATGTCTCTATCTTGACTTCTTCTTTGAATAGTTGAGATTACTGTAACTCCCCCCTAAAAATAATTCATAAAAACTTAGATATTTGGATCTAAAAAGGGGAAAAAGTGAATCAATGGAAAACTTGCCAAGGGGCACAACAGGAAGTGTTCAATTTCATAGCTCCCTGAAATATAGGAATTATGTAGCCTCCAAACCAGTAAGGATGTATGTGACTGAAAACTCCAAAGAATTTAGAATGTTTAAAGAGTTATGAAGAAGATTGGCCTTATTTTTTTATGTTATATTTCAAAGAATCCTGTTCTGCTGTAAATTGATTAAAAACAAAAAAATATTAGTCATGGACATTTGATTTCATTGGCTAAATTTGTGACAATTCTTGTAGATCACATCCTATAAGCAGGATCATTACTAAGAAGTGTTCGGGAATTAAACCTGACGATGTAAATTCTAGATTTGAATTTTGAACCAATCATTTTTGCTCTTATTATTATTATTAATAGATTAATAATCTAAAGTTCCGACTTTATGCCAAAAAAATTTAAACATAATTTAATTGCTGTGGCGCAACTAAGTGAACTAACTCTTTATAAATTAAATAATAGATGATGTTACATTTACTTTTATTCCATCCTACCTATTAACTAGCTGATTTACCTCTTAGTGAAGAGAGTTTGGCCCATTTATCTCAGCTGCAGCAGACACAATAAACCACGACATCATCAATCAGAATCAAAGTGAAGATTTTCCGCTTCAATTGCTATACACCCCAATATGGTCTTTGGGGAAAATGAATAACAACTATCCTTAAAAGCAATTCAAAGATAGCTAGTTTCAAAAAGTCAAGTTAATGAACTTTTTCAAAGTTCACACAAAGATGACTGTGCAAAAAGAAACCACTTACTTTGATATCAATGGAAGTCCTGCATCAAGGCAACAATTTACTCTGCAGAATGCCTTCTCTTTTACTGTGCACAAAACTCAAGGATTGGCATTACCTCATGCAACTGTCAACATTAATGAAAATAAGTTCACGTCTTGGTCTGGTATACATATCTATGAGCGGGGTGCCTTCTTGGGACTCGCTTGAGGTCTTAAATTTTGACTTTCTGTGTAAAAACTAATTGATTTGGGATTCAGGAATACACAAAATTGAAAAGTGCGAAGCAGAGAGGTCTTGGCCAAATTAAGAAGCAATTAATTGATATTTATTTAATCTCTAAAAAAAAATTTTTTTCTGTATTATATATTAATAATAATAAAATTTCACATGAAAGTTTGCTCACTGCGTATCCCTGTCAAAACCTTGTTTTTATTTTTAGGATTGGAGTTTGCATTCTTTTATTTTCCCCAAAGGTAACTGTGTCTAAAAAAAGCAAAAAATCAATAATTCCAAATGTGGATATAGCTATAGCTGTTTTTTGCTAGACTATAAAATTGAATGATCAATACATAAAAGGGCCTCCTTTTTTCTTTTGCAATTTATAATTTTAAAGATGCGGTTTCCATACTACATTATATCAGTTTTTATCTTAGCTTTATTTGTTTCTTATAACCCAACATTATGTCACGTATACAAACATTCTCCAGAAAAACTTATAAACAGCCATTTATTTTACATTGAACCAGCACGGACTGCCTTTTCTCGTGATATCAAACCAATAAGTTATCCTGATAAATGTAAATTAAAACAGTTGCATTTGAACACTAGACACGGTAATTATTATTATTTCGTATGTGTACAAATTTGACAGCATAAAAAATAAACTTTCTTAATATAATTATTAGGGTCGAGATATCCAACTCCAGATGAAATTAATGGTTATGAAAAATTGGAAAAAACATTTGCTAATGTTTCTATTGCAAAAGAATGGGTAATAAATCAACAAATCATTTGTCATGTTTAGCAAAATTTAAAAAAAATTACTTTTTTTTTTAGTATAAAAATGTTTTCCCAATGAGGAAAAACCTTCAATTGATCAAACAAGGAGAAATTGAACAGTATTTTGACAGTTTACAATCTCGTCAAAGATATGCAAAATTTTGGAAAGGAGTTAAATATGACCCCGAAGTTATAAAATTCCAAAGTACTGCTACTTCAAGGTACAATTTAATAATACAGTGCAGATCATCTATAATCATTACTTGCTTATAGTAACAAATGGTCAACTTTAAAATACTACAACAAAAAAAAATTATTTCATTTTAAAAAATTTAACCGATAAGTTTTATTGTTAATGACTCAAGCTTCAAAACTTATCGGCTAGTTTTTTCTTAAA